AACTAAGTGTAAAAACTCGTAAGTTTCATGCTTTGTCTGTTAGATTTCCCACATAAAACTAAGTGTAAAAACTCGTAAGTTTTATGCTTTGTCTGTTAGATTTCCCACATAAAACTAAGTGTAAAAACTCGTAAGTTTTATGCTTTGTTTGTTAGATTTCCCACATAAAACTAGATACGAAACTAATTAAAAAGCATACCTTCAGCAAAAAATGAAAAAACAAAAAACCGTAGAAAGCTTAATTGTCAGTTTATAATGCTGTGGTATTAGTTCAAGAAACATTAAAATGGACGCTCGAATTACCTCATTCTGAGCAAGAAAACATTTAACTACGTTAACTTTAACTTCCTGACATCAAGATCTTCTTCAGTCGCATATGTTGGACAATTTCAGAAGCTTACACGTAGTTCTAAAATTGAAAGCATCATCTTAAAATGGCGGTTTTTGTCAAGCATGAATAGCTCACGTGTTTCTAATGTTGATTGCTCAAAGCGGTGTTTAGTAAAGGTGCAGCAAATGTGTTTCTAATGTGGTTTACATAAACTGGTGTTTAATAAGGGTGTATCAAGTGTGTTTCTAATGTGGTTTACACAAAGTGGTGTTTAGTAAAGGTGCATCAAGTGTGTTTCTAATGTGGTTTACACAAAGTGGTATTTAGTAAAGGTGCATCAAGTGTGTTTCTAATGTGGTTTACACAAAGTGGTATTTAGTAAAGGTGCATCAAGTGTGTTTCTAATGTGGTTTACACAAAGTGGTATTTAGTAAAGGTGCATCAAGTGTGTTTCTAATGTGGTTTACACAAAGTGGTGTTTAGTAAAGGTGCATCAAGTGTTTTTCTAATGTTCTTTACACAAAGTGGTGTTTAGTAAAGGTGCATCAAGTGTGTTTCTAATGTTCTTTACACAAAGTGGTGTTTAGTAAAGGTGCATCAAGTGTTTTCTAATGTTCTTTACACAAAGTGGTGTTTAGTAAAGGTGCATCAAGTGTGTTTCTAATGTTCTTTACACAAAGTGGTATTTAGTAAAGGTGCATCAAGTGTGTTTCTAATGTTCTTTACACAAAGTGGTATTTAGTAAAGGTGCATCAAGTGTGTTTCTAATGTTCTTTACACAAAGTGGTATTTAGTAAAGGTGCATCAAGTGTGTTTCTAATGTTATTTACACAAAGTGGTATTTAGTAAAGGTGCATCAAGTGTGTTTCTAATGTTATTTACACAAAGTGGTATTTAGTAAAGGTGCATCAAGTGTGTTTCTAATGTTATTT